GGGGGGGGGGAGGGAGGATCCGATGGGGGGGATGGGAAGTGATGGGAAGAGGAAACGAAGGAGGAGGCTACAATGCTTGATAAGAAATGTACTCATTATCTTGCCCATGTGATTGTAACCCCTCTGTACAGTATTTTCACAATAAAATAATTTAAATTTAAATTTTAAAAAAAGAATATTTAGCCCGGTACCAGTGACTTATAATCACATAATCATAGCTGTAATCATAGCTACTCAGGAGGCTGAGATCTGAGAATCACAGCTCGAAGCCAGTCTGAGTAGGAATGTCTGAGACTTATCTCCAATTAATCACAGAAAAAGCTGGAAGTGGTGCTGTGGCTCAAGTGGTAGAATGCTAGTCTTGAGCAAAAGCTCAGGGACAGCATCCAGTCCCAGAGTTCAAGGTCTGGCAAAAAAAAAAAAAAAAAGAAAGAATTTTTATTTCGGGCCACCTTAGTGGTAGAGTGCTTGCTTAACATGCATGAAGCCCTGAGTTCCATTCCTCAGTGCCACATAAACAGAAAAGGCCAGAAGTGGTGCTGTGGCTCAAGTGGTAGAATGCTAGTCTTGAGCAAAAGCTCAGGGACAGCATCCAGTCCCAGAGTTCAAGGTCTGGCAAAAAAAAAAAAAAAAAGAAAGAATTTTTATTTCGGGCCACCTTAGTGGTAGAGTGCTTGCTTAACATGCATGAAGCCCTGAGTTCCATTCCTCAGTGCCACATAAACAGAAAAGGCCAGAAGTGGTGCTGTGGCTCAAGTGGTAAAGCTCTAGCCTTGAGCAAAAGAAGCTCAGGGACAGTGCCTAGGTCCTGAGTTCAAGCCCTAGGACTGGCAAAAAAAAGAAAAAAGAAAAAAGAATTTTATTTCATTTTTATAGGCTCTTCCTATAACTTTCATTTATACAATATTTTCTTTATGTTGTAAAAAAAAAGCGAAGTAGATTCCTGTGTTAGAAAATCTGCCATTGTTTGAATTGGTCATGGGAACGGTGGTGACTAATGAAGAGCTGCAAATAATAATTAAATGTTTGAATGCAGCCAGTACTCTATATTCAAGGGCTTACTTACACAAGTCCCTGGCAGCCTTAAATGCCATCCATGATAACTATGCACAAGGCATTGGGTCTGTGTATGGCTCATACTCTACGGAATATGATTCCCCAATGTGCTATTCACTTATACCCATATTCCTTAAGATATATGTCTATTATATAATACACGTAAAGACAGTCAATGCCTTAATTATCCTTACCCTGAAGTAATAAGTTAGTAAAAAGTGTAACCAAATCAGGCATGAAAGTTTGGCCTCTGCTCTAATATCTGGGGTATTGGTTTTCTGGATGCTAATTTCTAGCAAAGGATTTGAGTCCTAAGAAATATCAAAACCCTTTTGCCATTTAGATAGGTATAATAAGCATCAGATACTAGTCATTTATGCTATTTTTTCTAAAACAATGTTATACCAGGAATGTGTCTAAACATCATTTAAAAATAATTAGGTGACAACAGGTGCTAGTAGCTCAGGCCTATAATCCTGGCTACTTAGGACGCTGAGATCTGAGGATTGTGGTTCGAAGCCAGCCTGAGCAGGAAAGTCCATTTGACTCTTACCTTCAATAAACTACTAAAAAAAGCCAGTACTAGAGTTGAGGCTCAAGTGGTAAAGCACTAACCTTGAGCCAGAAAGCCCAAGGACAGTGCCCAGACTCTGAGTTCAAGTCCCAGGACTGGAACAAAAAAATTGTATGATACAATTAATAAATGGGTTCAGCAAGATTTCAGTGAATGATATGCACATATAAAAAACAATGATGGGGGCTGGGAAGGTGGCTCAGTGGTACAGCGCTTGCCTTGTATGCCTGAGGCCCTGGGTTCGATTCCTCAGCACCACATAAGCAAAAAGAAAAAAGCTGCGAGTGGCGCTGTGGCTCAAGTGGTAGAGCACTAGTCTTGAGCTGAAGAGCTGAGGGACAGTGCCCAAGCCCAGAGTTCAGGTCCCACGACCAGACCCCCCCCCCAAAAAAAAGAAAGAAAGCTTTAAAAAAATAAAAATAAATTAAAAAAAAACAATGATGGCTTTATAGACTATATAGTAGTGATAATGTGAACATGAAACAAAAAAACTGGTTATGATAGTATCAAAATAAGATAAAAAAGTGTAATTTATGTTCTAAAGCCACAAAATATTGAAAGCAACAATGATCAAAATACAGGAAAGATATCCTTTCTTCATAGATTGGAAGACAATATTGTCTTCCTAATAACAATACTCCTCAGGCTGGAAAGTTGGCTCAGTGGTAGATTGCTTGCCTTGCATGCATGAGGTCCTGGGTTCAATTCCTCAGCACCACATACAAAAAGCAGAAAAAAGCTGGAAGTGGCACTGTGGTTCAAGTGGTAGAGCGCTGGCTTTGAGCTGAAGGGTTGAGGGACAGTGCCAGGGCCCATAATTCAGGCCCCATGACAGACAAAAAGAAAAAGAAAAAAGAAAACAATACTCCTCATATTGAACTATACCTTCAATATAAGCACTACCAAAATATCAGCTGCTTTCTTCATAGAAATCAGCAAGTTGATTCTAAAATTCATACTCAAGAACCCAGAACACATAAAGTTAGCTTGAGAAAGAACAAGGTTGGAAGAATCACATTTACTGATCTCTGACTTGCTACAAAGACATTGTGGTACAGGGATAAGGATAGATCTGGAGGTAAATGGAATAGAATCTGGAGTCCAGGAATAAACTTATGTATGGTAAGTCAACTGTCAATAAGGACATCAAGACTTGACAATGGAGAGACTAGTCTTTTTTAACAAATGGCTTCAGGACAACTAAATAGTCACATGAGAAAGAAGTAACTGGATTTGTAACTTAAGCCATATACAAAAATTAAATGATGAAAATATAGATGAAAGACATTGAAGTGAAAGCCCAAACTATAAAATTATTACAAGAAAATGTAGAGGTAAATCTTTGTGATCTCAGATTAGGCTGCTTAGATTTAATGTCAAATCCCAAGCAACCAAAACAAGATCAACTATAATTCATCACAATAAAAAACATTTATGAGCTGGGCAACGGTGGCTCATGCCTGTAATCCTAGCTACTCAGGAGGCTGAGATCTGAGGATCACGGTTCAAAGCCAGCCCAGGCAGGAAAGACTGTGAGACTCTTATCTCCAATAAACCACTAGAAAACTGGAAGTGGCACTGTAGCTCACCTTGAGCTGAAGAGCTGAGGGACAGCGCCCAAGCCCAGAGTTCAAGCCCCATGACTGACAAAAAAATAAATAAATAAAATAAAAATAAAATAAATAAAAAATATTTATGCTGTGGCTCCTAAGTACAATCCTAGTTTCTTAAATGGATGAGATCTGAGGATTGCAGTTTGAACTCAGCACAGGCAAGAAAGTCCATGAAATTGTCATGTCCAATTAACCACAAAAAGACAGAAATGGAGCTGTGGCTCAAGTTGTAGACTGCTCACCTTGAGCAAAAGAGCTCAGGGACAATGCCCAAGCCCTAAGTTCAAGCTCCAGTAAGAGCACAAAACTAAAGAAAACAAAAACAAACATTGTGTTTCACTATTAAGAAAGTGAAAACAGCCCCCAGAATGGGAAAAAGTATTTGTAAACTATGTATTTGATCAGGACTTGTACCTAGAACAAATACAAAGCTCTTATAGGTCAATAATAAAAATATAAATAATCTCACTAAAATTTGGCAAAAATTCAAATAGATATTTTTCCAAACAAGACATACATGTGGTCTAGAACTACATTCAATGATACTCATTATTAGTCTTTAGAGAGATCCAACTCCAAATCACAATGAAATAGCCCTTCATATACATGCTAGTAGGGCTATCACAAAGTCAGGAAATCAGAAGTGCTGGTGAGACTACCGTAGAGAAAGTGGAATGCTCAGACATTGCTGGTTAGAATATAAATGAGTAGTTACTTAAAAAGAGAAATCTGGCCATGTCTCAAAAGTTAAAAATGAGTTATCACTTGATCTAGCAATTACATAGCTAGGTACATGCTGAAGAGAACTTAAAACATGAATATTTATATACAAGTGTTCACAGAACATTATTCATAACAGACAGATGAATAGAATATAGAATCTTACTGGGCCATGCAAAAGAATAAGGTACTGATATATACTACAACAAGAAAGACCCTTGAAAACATGCCCTGTGAAAGAAGCCAGTCACAAGAGACCACTGATTTATATGCTTCTATTTATAGGAAATGTCCAAAAATAGGCAAATATTCAAAGACATAACCTACATAGCAAAAAATAACCCTCCACCCCCCACTATTCTAGGAACATGAGAGGGGAAGACAGACCATGAAAGAAGAGGGAGAAGGAAGAGACAAGTTTCTCTTTGCTTTCCGGGTTTTTCGTTTGTTTGTTTGTAGTAAGGATACTGAAGTTAAAACTCAGGGCTCACACTTATTCAGCTTGCATGTGTGGCTCTTCCACTTGAGCCATACTTCCAGCCGTATGGAGATAGAATCTGTTGGACGTCTCTGGTCGGGCAGAAAAATGTCTTTGTCGATGTTGTTCATGGGGCTTGAACGTTGGGCCTGGGCGGTGTCCTTGAGCTTTTTTGCTCAAGGCTACTGCTTACCACTTAAAGTGGCAAAAAACAAAAAAAAAAGCTCCATTTTTGGTGTTTTGGTGGTGGATTGGACATCAGAGCCCCCAGACTTTCCTGTCCAGGCTGTCTTTGAACCATGTGATCCTTAGGCCTCAGATTCCAGGCATGAGCCGCCAGTGCTGCGCCAGAAAACATCCTTTAAGGACATTTTGAGTTGGCATTGGTATTACATGCTGGTGAAGTCATCCTCTCTGCTGTAAACCTGAGGACCAGGCCTAGTTTATCTTCCTTGCTTTGTCACCTAGCTCTCCTCCTTCCTCTGCTTGTTTTTGTCATGTGATAATTTGCTTTTCCTGAAACATGTGTGTTCTCAGATGCTCATTCTTGCTCGGCTGCATACTTCTCTTATTTTCCATTTTCATTCCTACCATGTTTTGTTTTGGTTTGGTTTTGTCTCAAGATCTTGCTTGGCTTTTTCTGCTCATATCTGGTAGTCTACCACTTGAACCATGCCTCCACTTCTAACATTTTACAGATGAGAGATAAGAGTCTCAAAGACTTTTTGCCCTGGCTGGCTTCAAATTGTGATTTGTAGATCTCAGCCTCCTGAGTAGCTAGGATTACAGGTGTGAACCACTGGGGCTTGGCACCAACTGATTTTTGACAACGGTACAAGAGCAATTCACAGACTTTTCACAAATGATGAAACCCCCTACCTCAGTAAACCCTGAACTCAAATACCCCTGCTTTCACTATATTTGATGTTGGCATAATTTGTGGAGGGGAAGGGAAAAAACAAATCGTTTAACTAGGGATACAGGTGGACCCATTGCAACAATGAGATGTATAAGTCGTTATGTCAAAAAAAGAACTTTACAACTTTGGGGGGGGAAGTGTGAGGGGTGAGGGAGGTGGGAGGTGGGAAGGGATGGGAAGGGGAAACAAAAGAGGAGGCAACAATGCTTGATAAGGAATGTACTCATTACCTTGTCCATATAATTGTAACCTCTCTGTATGGTATTTTCACAATTAAAAAAAAAGAAATTGCAATAAACTAAAAAAAATGAACTGAAAATGGTTCATCTACTCAAATATGAAATATGAAACCACAATTTTTAGAAGAAAACCACAGAAGAATGCTTTTTTACTAGGGGTTAATGCTGGTTCTGGGGTTTAAATTCAGAGCCTTTCACTCTTTCTTGGCTTTTTAACTCAAGGCTGAAGCTCTGCTACTTGAGTCACATCTCTACTTCTAGAAATAGGTAGAAACTTTCACTTCTAGAAATATAGTAATTAGGTATACGAGTCTTCACACTTCACTTCTATAAACACAGAGACCTGCTGTTGGCATCAGCTAAGGATATAAGGATATAGGAAAGGTTTGTGGCAGAGAATGTCCAGGTGTAGTTTGAGAGGGACAACAGTTCCTTCTCAGGATTTTTTTTTTTTTTTTGCTGGTCATAGGCCTTAAACTCTGGGAGCTATCCCTAAGCTCCCTTTGCTCAAGGCTAGTACTCTAACACTTGAGCTACAGCACCATTTCGGCTGATTAACTGGAGATACGCGTCTCATAGACTTTGTATCGGGGCTGGCTTTGAACCAAGGTCCACAGATCTCAGCCTTCTGAGTTGCTAGGATTATAGGTGTGAGTTACTGGTGCCGGGTGACTGGTGCTGTTTTGTTGGTTTTTTTTTTCTTGTCAGTTGTGGGGCTTGAACTCAGGGTTTAGTTACTGTCCCTGAGCTCTTCTGCCCAAAGCTAGTGCTCTACCACTTTGAGCCACAGCTCTACTTCCAAGACTAGGGCTTTTTATGATCAGTAATTCAGAGCAGTGTTGGCCTTGAGTAACTTCTGTCATAAGCCAGGGTGACTACTGATAGAGGCCAGCTGCTCACCATTCCCATGTATGCCACACAGCACTCTGCAGCAAGCTGCCCTCTCTAGTAGATGGAAAAGAAAAGTGAGAGGAAGAACGTGTGGATGGCTCAGGTCAGCATTTTTTGTGGACACAGCTCCCAGTGCCTGCTCACAGTCCATGTAACTATCAACTGGAAGTCAGACCTGATGCTGCAGTTTTCCTTTTAGATAAAGAAGGAGGCCCCCGTGCTATGTCTCCTTCTATTATGGTTCCAAACACTGAAGTCAGTCCTGAACTATCTAAATGGTCTACAATCGTTCCAACAGCAACATCCCAACTTGTCCATGCTTTGCCTTTCCCACTGCGGGATGACATGAGTGAAATCATACACACGTTTGTAAGAACCGACTATATAGCCTATTGGCTCCCTGTATTTAACTTCAACTCATCTTAAAAGATTAAATCTATCCTAATATATTCACCAAAAACAGACACACTTCTTCAACAGAGAGGTACATATGAAGGACTGTGTAGACATTACTTTAGGAGACCACCTTCCATGTCCTGGGCCCCATGAATGATCTCTCAGGAGCACATGGCCAGGAGTGACAAGAGTTGCCTGGTCCCTTTAGTACCCAATTCAGTGAGGCTTTGGCCACTAGCCAGAGGCCTAGCCAGCTTGCTCTCACCATAACAGAAACAGGCAGGCCTGATGTGATGTGGAAGCCAGAGTTCAGCCTTGAATGCACAGTGAGCAGTAAAAGGTCATTAACCTTTCCTCCTCCTCACCAAAGTCAGATGCTAGGGCTACCCTGGAAGGGTGAGTAAAGTCCTAGGAACTGTGAAGTTACATCTTGAGGCCCAACAAGATTGTTACCTTTGGCCCTGTCTCCAATCTGGAATATAGTAAGTAGGTATGTAAGTCCCCATACTTCATGAAGGGCAAAATCACCATGGGCTTCGGGATGCCTTGAGAGCTCATTTCTATACACACGCCTGAAATGAAAAACAGAAGCATTTACAAAGGGCCCTTGTTATGTGTGACCAAATATGCCCTGGAGGACCCATGGCTAAATTGAAACCATATGCTGCCAGGTTAATAGTTTAAAAAAGCAAAAGCTCCTAACACACACACACACACACACACACACACACACACACACACAATGTGTTCTAGAATATCCAACTCACACAGCCTCCACTACTTGACCTTTTGTTTTTCTTTTCATATTAGGACCTGGCTTTGCATGGGAGATTTTCATAGTCAATCTACCACAAAGACAGCCAGCTAGGAAGTGAAAAGTTTTGCTAGCCTGAGTGTAACTGAAGGGGAGTGACCTCATTAGAATTTGAACTCATTGGCTTCTGGTGAAAATTAAATAGTTAATCATATGACAAAGTCTATGCAACAAGGTACTTGAAACTATTTTTTAAATAATTTAGGACTTACAGGTAAAAAACCCATGTCCTAAATTCTAAGTTATACAAAAGAGAAGTGAAAATATCATTTATCCTGGGATTCTGGAAGTGTAGCCTGTCACCTGATCCTAAGCTGCAAAGCACAGGCATTTTGCTAAGCAATTACAAAGTACAATTGTCCTCACAGTCTGGCTACTGCCAATAGCTGCAAATATATAACAGCTGTTTTTTAATGTGATATTGTATCCAAGTACTACTTTTCAAATCTCTTTGTAGTGTCAATCATATAAAACTGGGAAATTGCCCCAAATAATTTATCAAAATTTGTCCTCGGACAGAAAAAAAGAGTTCCATTATTTCTAGCTCATTCCTTTCTATTAAAATAGCGTCCTTTACCTAGTACCCACTTCAACTTCACCTTCACTTCTTTTGTGTTTTTTATCTTCAAAGCCATGTCCATAAAATTGTCAATGTACCACAATTATAAATCAGTACTTTCAAATGGGTGGTTATATTATTTCTCAAAGATGTCTATTCTTTTTTTTTTTTTTGTCAGTCATGGGGCTTGAACTCTGGGCTTGGGCACTATCCCTCAGCTCTTCAGCTCAAGGTGAGCGCTCTGCCGCTTGAGCCACAGCGCCACTTCTGGTTTTCTAGTGGTTTATTGGAGATAAGAGTCTCACAGACTTTCCTGCCCAGGCTAGCTTTGAACTGTGATCTTCAGATTCAGCTTCCTGATTAGCTAGGATTACAGGTGTGAGCCACGGTGCCCTGCAAAGATGTCTACTCTTATAGATGTATCCTACTGGTGTGACTGATAGATAACAAAGCTTATCACGTGGCCAGCTCTGGTGTCTTGCCATTGAATCACTGGTGGCTAACTTAATTTACAGTCCTCTGGATATCTAAGGATACTCTTACCATCCTTGAGCCCACCTCAGTCCAAAAAACACAAACTCATTTGTATTATCAGTTTCAGAAAACAGAGCCATAAGAGGTCAGTCATAGCAGTCCATGTGTATAATCCCAGGAAGTACAGGGAGGAGGATTTTAGTCTAAAGCCAGCTTGGACAAAAAAAAAAAAAAAAGTATGCACAAGGCCCTCTCAGAAAAGCAAAACAAAGGATTCAAGTAATATAGTGTTTGCCTAACAAGTATAAGGCCCCAAGTTCAATTCTCCCCAACTCCCCCATTCTGGGGTTTAAACTCAGGGCCTGGATGCTGTCCCTGAGCTTTTGTGCTCAAAGCTAGCACTCTACCACTTGAGCCACTTCCGGATTTTTGATGGTTAACTGGTGATAAGACTCGCACAGACGTTCCTGCCCAAGCTGGCTTGGAACCACAATCCTCAGATCTCAGGCTTCTGAGTAGCTAGGATTAGAGGTATGAGCCATGGGTGCCTGACCCAGGTTTAATTCTTAATAACACACACACACACACACACACACACACACACACACACACACACACACACACACACGAAAAAGAAAATTGAACTACAAGGGAAAGTATTCTGGATTAAAAATACATACAAAACAAAATCCCATTGTTGTAAATTCCTTTGGGCTTATACAAAGTGTAAACTTAGTTAGGCTAGAGATGTTTCCCTTTGGTGCATTCTGGATTAGCCAAGCCCCTGCATCCCACTCCCCGCATTTATTTCCCTGAGGTACCTAGAAGTCGGATGACGTTTGGGTGGTTGAAGTCTTTCATGCACGCTGCCTCACTGAGAAACTCCTCAATCTCCCGCTGAGAAAAATTGTCCACTGAAGAAGCAGATGGAAAACATTAGGCATGATTATTTTATTCAGCTAAGGGGAAGGAATGGGCAATAGCAACTGTGTTCTCTAAAAGTAAAATCACACTGGGCATGGTGGCACCCATGTGTAATCCCAGCACCTGGGAGGCTGAGGCAGCAGGACCTTGAGTTTCAGACACACCTGAGCTACACAGTTAAGACTATGTTTCAAGGGGCTGGGAAGGTGGCTCTGTGGTAGAGCGCTTGCCTTGCATGCATGAGGCCCTGGGTTCGATTCCTCAGCACCACATAAGCAAAAAAAAAAAAAGCTGGAAGTGGTGCTGTGGCTCAAGTGGTAGAGCGCTAGTCTTTTTTTTTTTTTTGGGTCCGGTCGTGGGGCCTGAACTCTGGGCCTACGCGCTGTCCCTCAGCTCTTCAGCTCAAGGCTGGTGCTCTATCACTTGAACCACAGTGCCACTTCCGGCTTTTTTTTCTTTTTGCTTATGTGGTGCTGAGGAATCGAACCCAGGGCCTCGAGCATGCAAGGCAAGCGCTCTACCACTGAGCCACCTTCCCAACCCCCTAGAGCGCTAGTCTTGAGCTGAAGAGCTGAGGGTCAGCACCCAGGCCCAGAGTTCAGGCCCCACGACCGGACCCCCCCCCCCAAAAAAAGACTATGTTTCAAAAAGCAAGCTAACAAAAGCTAAATATCAGCAAAAGGTAAAACTATAGATGTTACATAAATAGGGTTAATAGGGGCAAGGGAAGAAATAAACACAGGAGGGTTTTAGTTCCATTAAACTATTCTGTCATTTATACACATAACAACCACATAACATCAAAGTGAACTCCAATGTCAACTAAAGACTTTAATAGTAATGTATCTATATGGGCCCATCAGTTGTAAGACATCTACACTAATGAAAGGTGTTGCTGACTCAGCAACTTCCCTCAGTGACAGGGATTCCACATTTCCTTCTGAACTTTAGCACCCAAGATCTGAACACTATCACCAGTGTCCAAGTGCACCCAGTGCTGAAACTCTGCCCAGAAGAGTGGGGTTCTCTGCTGATCACTCACACTTCATGGTCTTCACAGCCACTTTCTGAGAGGTCCCATCTTCTTGCTTCAGATTTCCTTCCATCACAGACCCAAATTCTCCTGCAGAGACAAACAACACCTACATGGATGCAGTGTGCATTCTCCCTGTCCACAGCCCGGCTGCTCCCATGTGGTCTGAGGTGACTGGTTCAATCTATAAGAGCCAGGCTCAGCCTGCCCAGGCCTCTTCCGCTCACATACCAGCAGTGTATGTCATACACTAGGGTCCTGCTTACCCTGGACTTGGGTGGCTCTGACCTTCCTTAATTTGTCGCTTCATTAAGCATTATAATTTACTCAAAACACTTATAGGAGATCATGGGTAAAATTCAAAAAGCACAAATTTTTATTTTCAGTGCTGGTGATGGAACCCAGGGTGGTTTCATGTGTGTTAAGCAAGCACTCTACCAATTAATAAACCCTAGCCCCAAGCAGGAATTTCTAATACCATTGTTATACATCCTAAGGACAGTTTAGGAAGTTACATTCTTATTTTCACTCTTGTTTCTATGTAATTAGGAAGGTATTATAAACAATCAACAAAAGAAATAAGTTTGAAGCCAGACGCCGGTGGTTCATGCCTGTAATCCTAGCTACTCAGGAGGCTGAGATCTGAGGATCGCTGTTCAAAGTCAGCCTGGGCAGGAAAGTCTGTGAGACTCTTATCTCCAATAAACCACTAGAAAAACTGGAAGTGACGCTGTGGCTCAAGTGGTAGAGCACTGGCCTTGAGCTGAAGAGCTGAGGGACAACGCCCAAGCCCAGAGTTCAAGCCCCATGACTGACAAAAATAAATAAATAAATAAAATAAATTTGAAGCTTACTGGATAATGAGTTGTATGCTTTTCAAGGAAACATAAACAATAATATTTTCTAAGCCTACTGTGCATTGTAGGAACTAGGGGAGGAGGGTTCTCTCTTTTATTGTGTGAGTGCTAGTCCTGGGGCTTTGAACTCAGGGCCTAGACACTGTCCATGAGCTCTTTTGCTCAATGCTAGTGCTCTACCATTTGAGCCAGGATTCCACTTCCACTGTTTGGTGGTTAATTGGAGATAAGAGTCTCACAGACTTCCTTGCTAGGACTGGCTTTAAACTGCGATCCTCAGATCTCAGCCTCCTGAGTAGCTAGGATTACAGGTGTGAGCCACTGGGTCCTGGCCTGGGGAATCCCATTTTTTATGTCAAATCTGAGGCCATAAAGTTAAGTTATAAAACAGAATTATATGTAATAACTTGAAATTAAAATGGTACTTAGTTTAATAAATGCATATTTTAAAAATTCTTCTCATGAATTTCTGCCCAGGCAGGAATGTCCATGAAGCTCTTATTTCCAACTAACCAGCAAAAACCCAGAAGTATGGCTCAAGTGGAAGAGTGCTAGCCTTGAGAAAAAAAGCTCAGGGACAGTGCCCAGACTGTGAGTTCAAACCCTAGGACTGGGGGAAAAAATTTTGTCAACAGTTTATCTTCGTGCCTCACATTGTAAAAATAATTACTTTAAACAGCTTACCTTCACCAAGAATTTTTCCAAGAATTAGAAGATTTCTGTCAATCACAACATCTTCTAGTTTATTTTTCAGTTCCTCACTGACTCCCAAGCTATGTACTGTAAAATGAGTCACAGGGTACATTTAAGATTATTTAAATATAATCAAGATTATGTTTAATGTCTTCTCATAGTTACTTTTTTTTAACATTTGATACTCACTATTTTTCCTCTCAAAACACCAGTAATAAAATACCATACTTCATTCTACGGTTATTAAAGCAAATTAAATTAATCCTTCTGGGCAGGACTATTTGTGAACAACTGTAACAATCAGAACACAATCCTCATGGGGCAGCAGGGCAACAGTCAGGTTGTGCAGAAGAGCTTTACCTCTGACTTAGAAGAAGGAAAATAAGTCAATAAGGACTTGCTGGGACCCACTAGCAAGTCACATGCCCAGTCCAACTGGTCCAAGGTAGATATACAGAAAAGCCATCTGGCCAGGCACCAGAGGCTCACATCTGTAATCCCAGCTACTCAGGAGGTTGAGATGCCCCCTCCACCCCCCCCCCAGGAGGTTCAAGAACCACATGACTCGTATTACATGTGACATGGGCCCCTCATCATAAGGACATAGGAAGGGCTAAGCTGGGAAAGTGGGAAATCAGATTGTCTATAAAAATAAAATACTTCATATAATAATATAACTATACCATAGATATGTAGCAGTGATAATAAGTATTAGCAATTAACCTGGAGAGGGAAAATGAACAAGCCTTTGAAAGGAATAAAAAGTGAATTAGTTCTTAGACTTTCTCCCAAAATCCTCAAAAACTAGTGTCTAAATGAACAATTTCTTTAAATTCTTTTTCTTTTTGTCAGTTGTGGGGCTTGAACTCTGGGCCTGGGCACTGTCCCTGAGCTCTTCAGCTCAAGGCTAATGCTCTACCACTTGAGCCACAGTGCCACTTCCAGTTTTCTGTGGTTAATTGGAGATAAGAGTCTCACGGACATTCCTGCCCAGGCTGACTCTGAACTGCAATACTCAGATCTCAGCCTCCTGAGTAGTTAGGATTACAGGTGTGAGCCACCGGTGCCCAGCTTTTCTTTAAATTCTCGAAAAAGCCTAGCAAGAAGGGGTACATGTATCATCCCAGCTACCTAGTATGCAAATTCTTAAATTCAAGGCTAATCCAAGGAGAAAGTTAGCAGTGAGGCTTAATCTCAAAACAAACAAACAAAAAGTTCAAAAATATTCTTTTAGTAGGTCGTGGGGCTTGAACTCTGGGCCTAGGCACTGTCCCTCAGCTCTTCAGCTGAAGGCGAGAGCTCAACTACTTGAGCTACAGTGCCACTTCCAGTTTTCTCATGGTTTGTTTATTGGAGATAAGAGTCTCACAGACATTCTTGCCTGGGCTGGCTTTGAACCGAGATCCTTAGATCTCAGACTCCCGAGTAGCTAGGATTACAGGCTTGAGTCACCGACACCCAGCTTATTCTTAGTTTTGCATGAGTGGGAGTCCTAGGGCTTGAACTAAGGGCACTGTCTCAGATTTTTGCTCAAGGCTGGAGCCACAGCTCCATTTCTAACTTTTTAGCGGTTAACTTGAGATAAGAGACTCACAGACTTTCCTGCCCGGGCTGGCTTTGAACCACGATCCTCAGATCTCAGTCTCTTGAGTAGCTAGGGTTACAGGTGTGAACCACCAGCACCTGGCTCAAAAATATTTTTAAAATGGGCAGGGTATTGGTGGTCCATGCCTATAATCCTAGCTACTAAGTATGCTGAAACTCTGAAAAATGAAGGTTCAAAGTCAGACCAGGCAGAAGGCCACAAGACTCCATCTCCAAAATAACCAGCAAAAAGCTAGGCTGGAGGTGTGGCTCAAGTCGTAGAGCACCAGTCAAGCCAGAAAGCTGAGTACAAAGTCCTGGAATCAGCAAAACAACACAACTTAAAGCAGAGACAAAAGAAAGAGTTAGAAATCAGTCAGAAAAGAAAATGTAAAACTGTTCCATAGCAGCTGCATTCCCTCATTCTTACTTCCTTTTTTATTTTGCTTTGGCAAACATGAATTTCATTACATTAACACATTCTTTCTAGACTCTTTCTGACATTCATCAGTAACACTATCAACTGTTTATACTCCCTCCCCAACCCTTCAAACCAAGGGACCCTACTCCCTGATTCAGCAAAATTTAAACATAATTGCTACAAAGTATGTTGGTAAATTGTCCTCTGTGATAATTTCCTGTTTTTTTGGAAAACAGGAAAGGAGTGTTGAGATTATGCCCAGTGCTTTGCATTTCCTTTAAATCTCTGACTTCTACCTGACCCCCTAACACCCAGAATATCCCCCCCTTCCCTCTGGCTTCTTAACCCCAGCTTCAACTCCCAACTTCCAGTAACCCAACCAGCCCAGATGTCCATGCAATTTCTGATTATCTGTTTGCTACTTTCTGAAAACACTTTGTATATTAAAAATATACATTCTTTTTTACCTCTTGGCTTTTGCTGGAAACCTCTATGACGGTTATTCTGTCTTGGTTCTCTACTATTTTAACTTTTGTCAAAAGTAAAACAAAAGTCAACTTACAGGTGAGTTCGATGGCTCGCCGACTGAAGGATTTCTTTGCTATATAATTCACGACTAACTCAGAATCCTCTTCTGTGAATGCGCTCCTGGATGATAGAAAGAAAGATATACAACTGTAAAAATATGGCTGGGTGCCTTTGACTCATGAGTAGCTACTCAGGAGGCTGAGATCTGAGGATCTAAGTTTGAAGTCAGTTTGGGCAGGAAAGTCCATGAGACTCTTATGCAGAAAAACTGGAAGTGGTCCTATGGCTCAAGTGGTAGAACACTTGCCTTGAGCAAAAAGGCTCAGGGACAGTGCCTAGGCCCTGAGTTCAAGCCCTAGGACTGGCAAATAATAATAATAATAAAATTAAAAAAATATAAGGCTACAGGGCAGTACTGGTTTCTCAAGAAGGTGATTAAGTCATCCCCTTTTAAAAGGGATCTTCTGTAGCAAGAGTATTTCCTGCTTAGGAAAAATACATTTCTTTCCTTATATCTATTCTAGACTACCTGGCAATACCAAATGACTGTCCAGGTATCATATAGAGCAGAGCAAAGCCTGGCTATCAGTGGCTCCCACCTATTATCCTAACTACTCAGAAGCCTGAGACATGGAGGATCACAGGTCAAAGCGAGCTAGTTAGAAAAGTTCATGAGACTCTTACCTCCATTTAACCAACCAAAAGTCAACTGGAGATGTGACTCCATATGGTAGAGCACCAAGTATGAGCAAGAGAACCATAAGGCCTACAGTGTAAGCCCTAATACCAGCACACACACACACACACACACACACACACACACACACACACAAGCAGAGAATAGGGTTGAAAGTGTAGCTCAGTGACAGAGAGCTTGCCTAGCATGTTCAAAGCTCTGGGTTCCATCCCCAGCCACCTCTAAAAGAAAAAAGAAAGGCAGAGAGGGAGGGAGAGAGGGCGAAAGGGAGGGAGAGAGGGAGGGAAGGAGGGAGGGAGGAAGGAAGGAAGGAAGGAAGGACAGACGGGAGGGAGGGAGGGAGGGCAGGAAAAAATGAAACAAAGTTAAGAAAGAGAAGATTAAATAATTTAACTGATAGGTTTCCAATGGCCAAACAATCTGAGCAACAAAGTAAGAGTATAAAACATGTATAAATATAAATATGATTTAATAAGTGGAACCAATTCAGAAAATGACAAGACAAATGTCATGTGCACTATTCCAAATATTTTATGTAGACACTGTGCCTGTTGACTAAGGGGATGCTAAATCCTTACCTTTAAGCATACGTTGCTCATACTGCCTTGTTTCCAAAAAAGAGCATGGAAAGGGAGAAAAACATAATTTCAGGCAGAGCAACCCAGCAAATACTTAGATGCTGAAAGTCACCAGTAACAATAATAGATCGTTTTGTCATACGTACCCTTGGGTATGCATAATGAAAGAGCACATTAACCTCTGCATTCTTCCTCTTAGTTACCCACAATCCCAGTCTTACCAAATCCCAAATCCCTACAAAACACCAGACCAGTGTTCTCTGAAACCTTCCGTAACTGTCAGGACCATCACAGACAAGGAAGCTCTGAAAAACTGCCAGCACTAGAGGAGCCTAAGGAGACACAATTAGCTGTAATGTAGGATCCTGAATGGGAAAGCAAACCACAGAAAGGACATAAGGAAAACTGGATATAGTATAGATTTTAGCTAACCACAATGTGTCAGTAGTGATTTGTTAATTGTAACAAATGTACTCTACTATGGTAACATGTTAATAAGAAGGGACAAGGGAGGGGCTGTGTGTGTGTGTGTGTGTGTGTGTGTGTGTGTGTGCGTGCGTGCGTGCGTGCACGCACTGTTACTGGAGCTTGAACTCAGGGCCTGCACTCTTCCTTGAGCTTTTTTGTTCAAGGCTTGCACTTGAGCCACAACTCCACTCTGGCTTTTTGCTGGTTAATTGGAGGTAAGAGTCATAGACTTTCCTGCTAGGGTTGGCTTCAAACCTTGATTCTTAGATCTAAGCCTTCTGAGTAGCTATGATTACAGGCATGAGCCATCAATCAGCACCTGGTTCAAATGGAATGTTTTCTTCTGTATTTCTCAGCTGTGAGATTACAAACCATGAAGGCAGACCCTATATGTCTTGTTCCTCTTCCTCAATTCAGTGCTTTGAACAGCGCCCCCTTTTTTGAACATGCAAACATGACCTTCTATTCAATTCATACATAGAAATGGACATCTTGTGCTGTCCACAGACTGAGTTCTCTGTAGGTCTTGATGTACCAAAACCTACATGGTGTAACAACAACAATCGCTTTATGTAGAAGAGGATAAGTTCCTAGCATACAAACATTTGTTTACTGTAGTTGAACTCAGGATCTTTTGTTCTCATTCAACTTGGTTGCTCAGCTGGCACTTTACCATTGAGCCATGCCTCCAGCCTGGCTTTTTGCTGGTTATTTTAGAGAGGAGATTTTGCATACTTTTCTCCCAGGCTGGCTTCAAACCATAATCTTCCAGGTCTCAGCCACCTCAGTAGCTAGGATTACAGGTGTGGTCTACTGCTACCCAGCTCCCATGCAAACTTTTGTGTTTTCCAAAACTATTTTGGCTTCTACTGAACATTGATCACTTGAGTTTTACCAACAATCCAGCACCAATTTTGGTGGTGATTATGTTGAATTCATAAGGAAAACTGATCTCTTGACAATATCTAGGCTTTAATATTTAATATGTCTCTCTGTGTAGTCTTCTTTAGCACTGTCAGTACAGTTTAATCTTTTTTCCCCAAAATGCTTTTGAATATCTACTAGGTTTTCTCACTATTAGAGAATGGGACCTCATTCTAGTATTTTGTTTATTTGGTTGGATTTGTTGTTGCTGTTGTTGTCTTCTGATACAGAGTCTTGCTCTAAAGGCAAGGTTGGCTTAGGATTCTTGGTCTTCTGCCTTAGAGCTTCTCCAGTGCTAGGATTATAGGTGTCTACCACTATATCTGGCTTATCTTAAAGTATTTTAAAAATAGGATCAAAATATTTTCATGACATATATTATTTTTAAATAAAAAATTAAATTTCTTTTTTTGCGTTCTGATATTTTAATCTTTATTGGAAGCTACTCTCCTTTTTTTCTTTTATTGTCAAGGTAATATACAGAGAGATTTCAATTATATAAGTAAGGTAATGAGTACATTTCTTGTCAACCTTGTTACCCCTTCCCTCAATTTTCTCCTACTTTTCCTTCCCCACAATCCTTAAGTTGTACAGATCGTTTCCAACAAACTGTTTTGTGTATATCACTGTTGCATTGGTTCCCCCTTTCTCAAAGAAGGCAGGAGGGAATCAAGGTGTAACTTTAGAAGCAGCAACAGAAGCCTTAAATATCTGGGGACTGGGAAGGACAATCTTGCTACTCCTGGCAAAAGTGTCTAAAGACTATGGAACCCCTTTGCTACAGTCCTTGCCCCTCCAGGATTGCCAGAGCTGCATATTATAGAAGTCCGTGTCAGGCTACAGGAGCTCAGGCCATCACTTTCTTACTCTTTATAAACTCTGTGTTCTAGGTGTTCTCAAGCAAATATATTTGTGGGTCATTCTGTAATAATGAATTTCCACTTGATTATACAAAGTCAGTTGCTGCTAATTCTTGGGGAGTGTGTGTGTGTGTGTGTGTGTGTGTGTGTGTGTTGGTATTAGAAGTTGAACTTAGGTCTTCAAGCTTGTTAGGCAAGCACTTTACCACTTGACCCATGATGTCATCTCAGCTCTACATTACTAATGATTCTTAAGAACACTGACATCTTTAAAGTCTTGAGTACTCTTAATTGCTGCAATCATAGATATCAGAACTGGCAGTGACCTTGGAAACTATTCAGATTCAGGGAATGACAAAGAAACCTGGAAAAGTAAAAAGGCTTCTGTATGTAGAAGAACTGGGCCTGGAGTCCAGGCATCCTAACTTCAGTGCTTTCCTTGTGTGTGACACCTTACACACAAGGGCCTTCACACACATTGCTCTTTCTGGCCTTGGACTGTCACTCCTAAACTCTTCCTTCGGAATAGCTGGAATTACAAGTGTGAGTCATGGAGCCCAGTCATATTCAGGATGTCTACCAGATATTTTATGCTTCTTTAAAATAGTTGCTCTTCAATTTATTTAAGAAGATATTGTAACAATAAGTTAAGACGTTTAAGGACTGAAACAGTAAATGCAGTGTGGTCTTCACTCTTAAGCCCATTTCAGTGCTCGTGGGAAGTTGGGATGAGCAGCTCATGCTAAGACCCTGTGTGTATGGAATTCCATGCAGCAGAAGGACACTGGACTGAAGTTGTGATACCTGGATTCCAGACCTCATACTCAATTCCTACTCAAGAGGTGGAGCAGTGGAAGATACCTGCTTAGTCACTTCCACAGCTAACTATACTCCCTCATTCTTTCTCATTCCAAACTGGTTTGTCTCATACAAAACACTTCCTTTTGCACCATGACCTTCAACTGGGTATCATGGAGACTCAAATTCACTGCAGAGCTGAAGTGGAAAGTTCCAGAAAGCTTTTCTCATAGGTTGCTTCTCGTGCTGGTACTTAACTAGTGCTTTATTAGAAAAGTAAGATGTGTAGCAAAGAAGAAAAGGAGCCTCTCCCCGCCCCAACTTTAATGTTAAAGTATGAAGTCTTAGCTGGGTGCTGGTGGTTCATGCCTTTAAACATAGCTACTCAGAAGGCTGAGATCAGAGGATCATGGTTCGAAGCTAGCCCAGGAAGGGAAGTCTGTAAGATGCTTTTCTCCAATTAACCATTCAAAATCCAGAAGTACAGCTGTGGCACAAAGTAATAGAGCACTAGCCTTGAGCAAAAGAGCTCAGGAACAGTGCCAGACCCCCAGTTCAAGCTCTACAACTATCCAAAAAAATAAATGAAGTATTCTCTACTAGAGAAATAAATGATCATAGCAGAAATGTGTTAAATGTAGGAAAAAAAGAAAATAAAAAACGAAAACCTAGTGATCTAGAAAAATACTAACCATGTTAATACTAACCAATGTTTCACTGGTGAATCTCATTCATATATTTGTGTCTATATATACAGATTGAGGATCTATTATCTGCAATGATGGGGGCCAGAAGTGTTATAAATTTCAGACTTTTTCAGAATTGGGAATGATTTCTTTTTATTTTTGGCACAGGGGTTTGAACTCAGGGCTTCATGCTTGCTAGGTAGGTGCTCTATCACTTGAGCCATGTCCCTGTCCCAATTCCTTTTTCTTTTGGTTAATCTTTCAAATAGGTTCTTCCTTGTTGCCCAAGCTGACCTGGACAGTAATCCTCCTATTTATGCTTTCCATGTAGCTCTGATGAGAAGTGCATGCCATCACATTCCGTTTTTAATTGTTTGAGATGGACTCTTCTGAACATTTTGCCTATGGTGGGCTGGAACTGCAATTCTCCCAATCGTCTCCCAAGTAATTGGGATTACAGTTGTGAGCTATCATGACCAACTAGATTTTGTAATATTTTCACATACACAGATATATATATATATATATATGTATATACACACACACATACATACATACATACATACATACATATATACATAATGAGATATCTTGGGGATAGCACCCAAGTCTAAATATTAAATTCATTTCTATTTCATGGATACCCTATATAATTATCTTAAAGGTAATTTTACATAATAGATAATATGAAACAAAGTCTCATGGTGTGGTATCATTTCAGTTCTTTAAGAGTCTTGGATTTTTGAGCCTTTGGATTTTAGATTTTCAAACTAAGGACTCTCAATTTGTTTATTTAAAAAACTGGGTCATTTTGAAGGCTTCTAATAAAAGTTTGAATAGCGAAGGCCTATCAATCCTCTTCTCTGTCAAAGGTGTCTTTGCAGGGGTGGCTCTGACTGTCGCTGCCTTTATAGCAACTAAGGAAGAAAGCTACCTAGTCCCAGGAGTTTACACAAGACATAGAACCCACCACAGATCATAGTGAAGACCACAGCCAGGAGAAGCAATACTCCTCAATCTAACAACCACAACTACTAGACCAACATTTTAAACTGGAAACTTACCCAAATTTTGTCTCCAGGATTCTTTTTCTGATAGCCAGAGAAATATATAAAACTAAGGCAATCAACACAATTCCACAAAAGCAGCCGAGGATAATCAGCACAGGCTCTGTGTTGCCAGGAGCTGGAGTTGAGGAGGGAGCATAATCGACCCCACCTGGTAAAACAGCAAAACCAACTAATTTTAAACATTTCTTTAGGATAGGAAATGCCTAAGCAACACTGGGTTGTAACTGAGAAGCACAGATAGTCAAAAACTTTGAAAACATCAATCCTTTCATGATTTGTGATCAACAAATGCAAGCAGTACAGTTTTTACAAGTTGAGACTGTGAAACTTAATAATCAATGAAACTGGCTTTTTTTTTAACCATTCCAATAATGTACACCTTGGTCAAAACCTCACTTTGTATGCCACAAACATATAAACTTTTTCATTTTCAGTTTAAAAAAATAATGAGGAACTCTCGTCATTTTGGTTATAAATGTACAAGAAAATAAAACAATTAGCAAAACAAATATTTGTATGTGTATATATAATACATATACATATAATAAAACAATTCAAAAAACAAATATTTATATTATATTTAATTTTTTTTGAGAAGGTCTCACAGTGTATCACAGACTAGTCTTAAAGTCTTGGGACCTCTGAATCAACCTCCCCAGTGCAGAAATTATAGGAATGTGCCATGTCCAACTGACATACTGTAATTTAAAACATTAGAGTAAGAATCAGCTGTTTGGGCTGGAAAGGTGGCTCAGTGGTAGAGTGCTTGCCTTGCATACATGAGGCCCTGGGTTCAATTCCTCAGCACCACATAAGCAGAAAAGGCCAGAAGTGGCACTGTGGCTCTAGTGGTATAGCGCTCGCCTTGAGCTAAAGAGCTCAGGCACAGGGCCCAGGCACAGGGCCCATGACCAGCCAAAAAAAAAAAAAAGAATCAGTTGTTTTACTGTTGGAGACATGGCTTAAGTAGCAGAGTACCAGCCATGAATAAAAAAAATCAAGCATGAGCAAAGAGTCCTGATTCAAGCCCCAGATCAATCAGCACATGTACGTATGTACACACACACGTACACACACATGTACACACACACACACACACACACACACACCAAACCACAAAAAGAACCAACAGCAAAACAAACAAAAAAAAGGCCTAAGGTATAGCTCAAGCACTAGAGTGCTTACCTAACAAGTACAAGGCCTGAGTTCAAATTCCATTGCCACCAATAATTTTTTTTTAATTTTTATTTTTTATTCTGAAAATACTGTACAGAGGGGTTACAATTACCTGGGCAAGATAATGAGTACATTTCTTTCCCTTTTTTTTGGGGGGGGGGTCCGGTCATGGGACCTGAACTCTGGGCCTGGGCGTGCTGTCCCTCAGCTCTTCAGCTCAAGGCTAGCACTCTACCACTTGAGCCAAGCGCCATTTCTGGCTTTTTTTTTTTGCTTATGTGGTGCTGAGGAATCGAACCCAGGGCCTCAGGCATGCAAGGCAAGTGCTCTACCACTGAGCCACCTTCCCAGCC